CCCACCCCCTGCCCCGGTGCCCCCTGCCACTCCGTACTCCGGGATGCGGTGGTGCCGGAGCCGCGGGGCCGAGCAGGCGGCTGATCCGCTCCAAGCCTCTTTCCAACAGCTTTAAAATAGCAGCCGCTTATCAGCGACCACGAGCTGACACGGGGCTGACACCGGGGCCCCCAGAATCAGCACCAGTCCCTGCAGTCGGGTCCTGCCTGGCATCCCTTCCCCACGGATCCCACCGATGGGCACAGCTCCCTGTGCACCGGCACCTCCCGCTGCCATTGCTTGCTGTCCCCATGTCCCAAAGCTGTCCTGAGGGACAGGACCCAAAACAGCAACTGCAGGAAGGGAGGGCCAGGACAGAGGGTCACCAAGGGGGACAAGCCGGCCTGGGGGGTTGTCCCCAGGGTCAGCGGTGGGAGCGAGGGTCGGCTCCGCAGCACAACGAGAGCTGCCGCAGGACTCGCTGCTTCAGGCGGATCCTCCTGGAGAGCTTGAGCGAGAGGCTCGTCTCGTTCTCGTGGGCCTTCAGCTTGGCATAGTAATCGGAAAACTTGTTGTAGAGGATGGAGATGGGCATTCCGTTCAGGATGATGCCGAAGGAGATGCAGCCGAACGCCACAATCCTGCCAACCACCGTCTCGGGCACGATGTCTCCGTAGCCCACGGTGGAGAGGCTGACCTGGGAGAGGACGGAGATACCCTCATGGATGGGATCAGCCATTCAGGAATTCTGATCCCTGCTCCTCTAAACACCGGGTTTTGCTAAGAGACACTTCCTCAGGGGGAGGCTAATGAGAAGCAGGCAGCTGGTGGTGGCGGAGGGCGATTAGAATAGCAGAAATGACTGAGAGGATCATTTTGTCTGCGAATCAAAAGCCCCTCGGTAAACCCTGCCTCTCAGGTGCTTTAGTTGTTGGTCAGCTCAGAGCTAATCCCAGGTTTATTATAGCACTTGGCTCAGCAGAGCTGCTGGCTCTGGTGGCGCTAGCGGACGAGGGACATCCCAGGGCTCTGGCAGCCCCAGGGTTCCTGTCCTCACCAACAGCCTGCTCGGCTCTGGGGTCCCCTTCCAGGCCTAGGTTGGAGCAAAGTGTCCCTGTATTTGCCTGGTTCAGTCCAAGCATCCATCCCTAGTGGATCTGCACCGTGCCGTGGCCACCAGGTGATCAGGCGCCATGGGTGTCCCCAGCATCCTGCCCCCACGCCTGGTTTAGAGCATCTGACCTCGCTCCCACTCTCCGATTTCCTCCCTTCAAGCAGGTTCTGGGCTTCCCGCTGAACCGGAGCCAGAGGGAAAACCAGGCCCGTTTCTACCTCCCGGCCTCCCTGGCAGGTCCCCGCTCCTTACCGCTGCCCACCACCACGCGTAGGGGATGCTGGTGAAGTTGGTGCCCGGGACGTCGTGCTCCGCGGAGTGCATGAGAGCGGAGAAGGTGAAGATGCCCATGGCGATGAAGAGGAAGAGGCAGCAAACCTGCTGGTAACACTGGCGCATGGTGAAGCCGAAGGCCCGGAGGCCGGTGGAGTGACGCGCCAGCTTGAGGATGCGGAAAATCCTCATGAGCTTGATGAGCTTGAGGACTTTCCCCAGCTTGCCCACGTTCTCCATCTTGTGCAGTTCCTCGTGGTAAAGCGTGTCCGCTTCATCCAGGTTCTCAAAGAGAATCTGGATATAGAAAGGCAGGATGGCCACTAAGTCTACAGCGTTAAATGCTGCCCGCAAAAACTTCTGGAAGTTGGAGGAGGAGATGAGCCGCATGAGATACTCGGAAGTGAAGAAAATGGCACAGACCATCTCTACCTGTTCCATCCACTTCTTCCCAATCTTGTGCTTCATCTCCTCTACTGTGCTCAAAGTCATGCCCACAATGGAGATGAGCACGAAGAAGCTTGACATGACGGCAATGATCTTGGCTGGGATGGAGGAATAAGGATTTTCAATGAGGTCCCATATTTTCTTCCGGAAATTCCCCAGGCATTTCCCTTCAAAGTGCTCTGCCGCGTCCAAGGGCTCCAGTTCCGCCTCCAGCTCCTTCTGTATTTTCAGGTACTCACTGAGCTCATCTTGCTTTTCCTCCAGGAGGATCCGGCAGCAGCGCTGGGAGTATTTCAGGTGGAGACCCCAGTACTCGATTTCCTCCACAAAGTGACTGGGACAAACCTCATCCCTTATCCACAGGACTCCGCTGCGGTAGAAGTGGAAGACATAGTGGAAAATGGAAGGATCTCGGTCGAAGAAGTACTCGTTCCTCTGCACCGAGTAGTCATCGCAGAGCTTCAGCTTCTTCATCGGGTCTGTGTAGACGGCGAGCTTCCCAATCCTGGTGATGGGATAGCGAGCAGCTACCTTGCAAGCAATCTGGAATGATTTCCCTCCAACGTTTATGTTGAGGAAATACTTGTTCCTTAGGACGGGCATTCCGCTCTGCTGCTGGTCGCAGTCCGCCACGTTGTGCATGGAGCTCCACGGCTTCACGAGGCTGTCCTGCGCGAACGGGATGTGGAGCTCCTCTTCCTCGGGGCTGCGGAGGAGGCCCCGGGGAGCCCCGATCTTCAGATTGGGGGACAGGCTCGCGCGCCGCCTCCCCGGCTGCCTCATGGTGCCGGCCCCGCCGCAGCAGCGACTTCTCTCACAGCACTTTTGGCTTCACAGGTCCCTTGTCCCCAGCCATGTGTGACAAGGGCAAGTGCTTGCAGCTCCCAGGAGCAGTGAAGAGTCACTGCTAAGGGACACTGCCCGTGTCCCGGTGCCACGTGGCACCTGCCGGCTTCCCAAAGCTGATTGCTGATCGGATTGGGCTTTGCATTGTAGGAGTTGGAAGAAGCTAAGTGTCCGCTCCTTAAGACAATAATGGGATTGAAGCCCTAACGCTTTATATAAGGGGCTATTTCCAGCTCCGTGCTTCTCTTTTTTCCTCATTCTGTTCTTCGCTGTTTGCATTTGTCACATACTACTCAATTTCCAAACAAGGCATCCCCTATAGCAAGCTGAAGGGAGAGCATGGGCCTGTTTAACCCCTGAAGGCCTCTTTTGCCAAGGACATGCAGGGCTTGTATCTGCTTTAACCTTAACGTTTAACCTTTATTTCTGTGAAATGAATTAAGTAAATGCACAGGCCCAGAGCACAAGATTGATACCACGCTGAAAAGCGACGCAATCCCCACCCTAATGGAAGTGCCTGAGCCTGAGGGTTTAGGACAACAAAAATGCTTCTGGCTGGGCCCCATGGGCTGGACGGAGGGAAGTTACTGTCACAAACAAACACTGTCACAGACTGTCACAATCACGGCTGCAAGTTTTGGCCATGGTTGCAGTGGCAGAGGTTCCTGCTCCCAAATCCAGGTCCCAGCCGTGTGCACGAAGGAAAGGACTCAGCCTAACAGAGTCCCAGGCTCAACTCGGCTCAAGCTAAGAGGATGAACCGGGACAGCTCGTGACAGCTGAGCTCTGCCACGCACCCGGCAGCGCCGGGCAGGCCCATCCCACTGGGATTTCTGGAATTTGCTGCCCAACTCTT